TAGGCCATATTTATTCAGGGATGGGCTTTAAAAAATGTGCATCCCACAAGGGGACGACTTGTATATAACCACAATGGCGGTTGACATGTCCAAAATACCCCAACTTTAGGTAGAGGATGCTGTTTACGAGTTTTAACCTTATAGTCATATTTATAGACACCAAGCACTCCTACTAATTATCATGGCTAGGCACAGACCAGAAACAGTCACATTAGGCTATAGTCACCACCCGAGATATGAACAGAATCAACAACGATTATGGTACAGTAATATTGTTTCTGTATTAGTTAGTTGCCTATCCTTTACAGGACGTTGCAGAGTCAACCCCAGTATTTTTTGGCTGTTGTGGTTTTACTAAGTGAATTTACATCCAGTTGTTTGCCATTGCTTTCTGGATGGTCGGCTTTTTAATACCACTGTCAAAGCCATCGCAAGGCACATGGCTGGCAGCTGGGATCGAACCCAGCATTAGGAATGCGTTCACAACGCCTAAGCCACAGACAAGAATAGAACAGTTATATTGTCCCCCTATGGATTTCCATTTAGGAATATGGTATTAAAAAAGGGCCACAGAACGTGGGAGCTCATTCAGCATGAGTCCCCCCCCCCCCCCACACACACACACACACACACCACATGCACACCATCTCCCACCGCCATTTTTTGTTATGGCAAATGGGCCATGCAACTTTCCCCCTACTATTGTTCAGCCAACTATGTATGAACCTACCTATCACAGTCTGGATATTTAACTGTTTTAAAACTAGAATTGTGCATGTACAACCATTTTACAAATCTGGCCTATTTGTTTGCCTACTGTTGGTTCCTTACCTGTCAATCAGGCGCACTCCTGGCTTTGAAGTAAACAAACCTATTTGCTCACCTGTTACGACATGCTTGTTTAGGGGGTTGATTCTTTTTCCCATTTAAATGAGACTTCAGGAAATTCCCACAGTATGATAACTTCTTTTGCTGATCTAAAGAGCACCTCGCACAGTATAATAAACTCTCATAACTACATGAAAACTTTTTGGGGGGGTTTTTTGTTTACAGAGTTCATATTATTATTATTATTCACTGGCTATTGAACTTCTTTGGAAAGTTCTGGTTTATTGTTATTTCTTTTCCCCGCGAGAAGAAGAACCAATTTTGAGGTTGAACAACAGATCAACATCATGGCACACAGGTAGTAACCCATAAGTGCTCCGTTCTTCTTCTTACTCAAGTCTGAGGTCGAAGAAGCTCAGCACAGTGCACATGCTCTGTAGCACCGGCGATGATCCTGAAATACTTTGTGTAGAATTTAAACACAAAATTTTTCCTGGGCAGCACCGTTAAACTGCTCTTCTAAATTTCCAACTGCCAAGGGATTTTTTTACATGCACAATAATGCGCACAGGTGCCCGATCTCACTACCCAGAGACTAGAGGGAATTACTAGAAGTCCAAGTCCACGTGAAAAAATCTCACCCCTTACTGGGGATTGAACCCAGAACCTCTAGCACTTAAGGTGGACACCATACCTCGAGACCACGCTAAAGAAGATGAAGGAATTGAGTGAGGAAAGTAGTTTAAATACGTTTACTACTTATAAGGCACACTGGTTACATGTTAATTAAGTTATATCAAAAACTTGTAAATGCACACAAATGTTATCGAACATTAAAAAACATGCTATTCATCATTCATACAGTATTCCCAAATGCAAACATTCATATGCATAAATCACAAGCATAAACATGTTGAGAACATAATTTGCCAGAGTGAGTTCTGGGAACCCATTACGGAGACAAAGGGAAGGGGGGGAATAAATATCCACTCCCTCCCTAACTCACATGCCATACAATGAAACTAATTAGGGAAGCTTTCTTTGAAATCAGAGCACATCTGCCTTAAAGGTGAGGAAGCAACAGTCTGCATACAAACAAACAAGAACTGTCCAAATGGACATGCAGGAAACACTCAGGTTCTGGAACAAGATCATCATCATCATCAGGTGCCTTGCCGACTGGCGTGGGCGATCATGTCTCTCCATAATCTGCGATCTCCTGCAGCATGTATCAGTTTGTGTGCAACACACCTCCATGCCATGCAACAAGACTGTCAAGCATCTTCTCTCGCTGTCTTCCTCTATCTCTCCTTCCACATATCTTTCCAGTGGTCACAACATGTTCTATTTTCCCTCTTCTCATAACATGGCCGAAAAATGATGACTGTCTCCTTCTGATGTCTGTGATAAGTTGTCTTCGGGCTCCCGCCTCTTTCAAAACCTCTTTTTGGCTGTCCAAGGTATTCTAAGCATTCTTCTGTAAAACCACATCTCCGAGGCCTCCAGAAATTGTTTGGCCTTCCTGCCGATTGTCCAGGATTCACAGCCATATGTTAAAACTGGATGTATGTAGCAAGCAAGAATTCTTTTTCTAACTCTCAATGACAAGGATATATTGCACAAGATGTTTTTCATTTTATAAAATGCAGTTTTTGCCTGTCCTATTCTGTTTCTTATCTCAGTTATGCATCTTCCATCTGATGTTATCCATGTTCCCAGATACTTAAATTTCTGTACTTGTAATAACACCATCAACTTTTATTACACACTTAGGAATAATTCGTTTCTTTGATACCACCATTACTTCTGTCTTCCCATTATTCAAACTGAGGCCCATTCTTCCACTTTCTAACACCACAATGTCTATCATTTCCTGTAGTTCTTTCTGACTTGTTGCTATCAAGACTGTGTCATCAGTAAATTGTAAATTGTTTATATTGTGCCCACCAACCACAATTCCGGGCATATCAATGAAAGCTCTCATTATATATTCACTGTATATTGAAAACCAATCTGGTTCTGAAACAAGACCACAGTCCAGAAATAGATCAACAATCATACATTTCTGCCAAAGTCAGTTCAGCCGATAAACATTAAGAAGAAGAAGAACATTAATTCTCCACCCACACTGGATAGGTCATAACTGTAGAGTGTTTGCAGTTTTTAGTAAAGGAAGAAGTAGGGCAGGGCAGACATATATTTCTTTGGCTTTGTAGTCTTAGAAAATGATACCACCATGGTGTGAGAGTCACAGAGAATACCTCCACACAACCTCATGGTATGGGAGTTCTAGAGAATGATACCTCCTCAATCCCATGATATGGAAGTCCCAGAGCATGAGACCTCCACACAACCCCCTGGTATGAGAGTCCCAGAGAATGATACCTCTAAACAGTCCCATGGTATGAGAGTCCCAGAGAATGATACCTCTAAACAGTCCCATGGTTTGAGAGTCCCAGAGAATGATACCTCCACACAGTCACATGGTTTGAGAGTCCCAGAGAATGATACCTCCACACAGTCCCATGGTTTGAGAGTCCCAAAGAATGATACCTCCACACAGTCCCATGGTATGGGAGTCCCAGAGAATGATAACTCCACACAGTCCTATGGTATGAGAATCCCAGAGAATGCCTCCACACAACCCCATGGTATGAGTTGCAGAGAATACCTCCACACAACACCATGGTGTGGGAGTCCCAGAGAATACCTCCATACAACCCCATGGTATGGGAGTCCCAGAGAATACCTCCACACAACCCCATGGTATGAATTCCAGAGAATACCTCCACACAACCCCATGGTATGAGTTTCAGAGAATACCTCCACACAACCCCATGGTATGAGTTCCAGAGAATACCTCCACACAACCCCATGGTATGGGAGTCCCAGAGAATACCTCCACACAACCCCATGGTATGGGAGTCCCAGAGAATACCTCCACACAACCCTAGGGTATGAGTTCCAGAGAATACCTCCACACAACCCCATGGTATGGGAGTCCCAGAGAATGATAACTCCACACAGTCCTATGGTATGAGAATCCCAGAGAATGCCTCCACACAACACCATGGTATGAGTCCCAGAGAATACCTCCACACAACCCCATGGTGTGGGAGTCCCAGAGAATACCTCCATACAACCCCATGGTATGGGAGTCCCAGAGAATACCTCCACACAACCCCATGGTAGGAGAGTGCCAGAGAATACCTCCACACAACCCCATGGTATGAGTTCCAGAGAATACCTCCACACAACCCCATGGTATGAGTTCCAGAGAATACCTCCACACAACCCCATGGTATGGGAGTCCCAGAGAATACCTCCACACAACCCCATGGTATGGGAGTCCCAGAGAATACCTCCACACAACCCTAGGGTATGAGTTCCAGAGAATACCTCCACACAACCCCATGGTATGGGAGTCCCAGAGAATACCTCCACACAACCCCATGGTATGGGAGTCCCAGAGAATACTTCCACACAACCCTAGGGTATGAGTTCCAGAGAATACCTCCACACAACCCCATGGTATGGGGAGTCCCAGAGAATGATAACTCCACACAGTCCTATGGTATGAGAGTCTCAGAGAATACCTCCTCACAACCCCATGGTATGAGTTCCAGAGAATACGTCCACACAACCCCATGGTATGGGAGTCCCAGAAAATGATAACTCCACACAGTCCTATGGTATGAGAGTCCCAGAGAATACCTCCACACAACCCCATGGTATGAGTTGCAGAGAATACCTCCACACAACCCCATGGTATGAGTTGCAGAGAATACCTCCACACAACCTCATGGTATGAGTTCCAGAGAATACCTCCACACAAGGTTAGAGTATGACATTCCCACACAACCAATGATATAAAAGTCCCAATATAATTTCCCCAGCCAGCTCACTGGTATGATTCTCATCAGCCCTTGCCAGAGTATGCTTAACTCACACTATAAAGACCTCCTTTGCTGATCTCATTTATAGCATTATTATTTCTGCTATTAGCAGTCTACATTGAAGGCTATCCAAACAACTGAGATTCTGTTGTCTATGATCATTCAGCTCCTTTGTGTACATTTGTTACCTCTTTGTCATTTGACATTCTCTCAGTATGCCCCCGTCATTTCAGTCTATCTTTACGATCTCATACAAACTGATTACCCAAAAAATAATCAATTATCCATTTTTGTCTGTTCACTGTTTTGTTTCCTGCGAAAACTCCATCTACTTGGAATGGAAGTATGTTTTGTGCTGAGCCTGCTTGTCTCTTTAGATCCAAATACGGGACTTTGATTTCTGGATATGCTGTCTCCTTGTCTCATGCTTCTTTCCCTAAGGAGAATGTCTTCACTCAGGTACCCTAATGATTTGATTGTCTTGTACTGGTCTGGTATCTCCATCATTGCATGTAAGGCAAAACTGGCTTCTGGATTCTTTCTGTAGAAGAAAGAAAGATATTATTGTCTCAAACAGCAATAAATGTGGCTATCTTCCGAAAAACGGTCCCAAATTATCGAGGCAGAAAATATACCCTAACAGGGTCTCAGTCACGTGTCAATTGCGTGCTTCCGGGGACTATACCGCCTCCGAATTGCGAACTTCTGGCGACTTTCCCCCACCCCCGAGAGTATCCCCCACGCCGCTCACGCGGCGTGGATTGGGGCTAAATTAGATGGCTAGGACTCACGAGCAAATAAAATGAAGGCAGCTGCAGGAAATGCTGTAGCTGCTGCTCGTGAGTCCCAGCCATGTAGTTTAGCCTCAATCCATGCTTCGTGAGGGATACTCTCGGCGGTGGCGGAAGTCGCTGAAAGTGTGCAATTTAAGTCGCCGGAGGTGCGCAATTGACTTGTGACTGAGGCCCTGTTGGGGTATATTTTCTGCCTCGATAATTTGAGACCGTTATTCGGAAGATAGCAATAAATGTGCTAGCCTAAACTGTCAAGAAAGTTGAAGGATGGGGAGACCATATATAACCTAGAGGAAAAATACATTTAAAAAAAAAATGTTTCCCGTGTGAGTTCCAGTGCTCCATTTTGGAGAGCACAGAATAGACGACCCACCGCCTCCTAACTAGCATGTTGCAGGAGGCAACTGATTAGGGGGTCTTTCCTTCGATGTCAGACTGCACCTGCCTGAGATACAAGGAACTAACATCTTGCATGTAATTAAGCCAGATCTGTAAAACAGATGTGCATGCAAAACTCAAGTTCTGGATCAAATCCAAAATTCAGGAGTGGATGAACAACCAGAACTTTATGTCAAAATTTACAGCTGGGGAATGCTAAGAAGAAGACAAAGAAAATGTACTCCTGTGATGACATGCTCGTGAATGAATCACCTCTACTTTTCAAGCATGGGTGGATTTTGTGACAGAACTCACCGTAAAACTAAGTGGGTTATACACGTTAGTCTCCCCAAACAAAGCAGGCCACGTTTCATTAATAATTTTTTGGGGGGTGGTCTACCTTCCTGCAGGTTACGGGTGTGCTACTCTGTTGTTTTCTTTCTGGGTTGTCTTGCATTTGCGTTTTTATTTTGAGAAAGAGAATGCCTGTGACATAGGTTTCATCACTCTCTAAAGGGGGTTTGTGTTAGACCCATTTTGTCGATGTTTTTGGAGTGTTAAAAGCGTGGGCATGCTGATACCCACATCATGCAATATCAACAGCATTGCAGAAAACCCTGCAACCTTTTGGCACGGTAGCGTGGCTCAAGGTCAACCAATCAGAAATGAGCTAGTGATTTTATTTGGTCTTGATTTTAATTGTATCATGTTCCTTTTGTGTCATCTGCTAATAAAGGTTTTCCAGGGGCAACATAGGAATACTTTCCGTCAGGTTTCAACTGGCACTATTGGCAATACTGATGCCTTCTGGCCCAACACATCCATTTTCACCATAACAGTAATTAGTCACCTTTTATGGCTTGTTAGGAGACAGTGGGTCTATTCATTTGTCCCACCCCGGAACCCGCACAAGGAGACAGTGGGTCTATTCATTTGTCCCACCCCAGAACCCGCACAAGGTGACAGCAACATGTGACCCTTCCCAGGCTGTCCCAAACATCGTGCCATACGTCTTCTAACAATAACTTCTAATGAAAGAAATATCCAGGGTCAATTTCTGGTTGATTCCTGCAGCACTTCTGGTATACAGTAATTCTTTTTCATGGGAATAAAGTGCAGACTGTACGGGAATCTTGGATGTGGCAAATTTCTGTTGTGAAGAACAATTTGTTTATCCCCGACAATTTTACTTGCTTGAATTCTTATCTAGGTAAAAGGAATTTCTGATAAGATGAACCCTTTCTTTGGCGTCCGGTGGGTTCTCCTTATCAGATCTGCACTGTATTTAAGTAAAAATAAATTGTGTGCGGAACTTCAGAGGCAGAGAAAGCTAACTGGTGCTTGCATAGAAAAGAAGATCCGAAATAGAATCAATTGTAAAGCATACAAAGAAAACAGAACAAATTTCTGTGAGGAAAAGACTGGTTGCAATGGCAAAGGATAGGACGAGTTGGCAAGAGTTGGTTTGCAGGCTTAGGCTCCACTAAGAGATCAAGTGTGGCAGAAGGGAAGAAGATGCTGGTGGGGTATTGGGCACATGAGGAAAAGCTGTTACACACACAAACACACCACCAACACACAACCACACACTACACCCACACAGACATGCACACACACACACCATACACACACACCCACATACACATCACACACCATACACTCACTACACACTCACCACCCAGACTCACACACCATACATACCACACACACACACACGTTCACTGCACACACACATACTCACCACCACCACACACACTACACCCACAACCACACACACCACCCACACACACTGCACACACCCCACGAACACATCATCCTACACAAACACACACACACTGCACACCCCACACACAACCTACACACACACACCAACCACACTACATGCATGCACACTCGCATCACCCACACACACCTCACATACACACACACCTCATACACCAGACACTTACCCCACACACACACCACCCAAACCATCCACATACTACTCACACAATACACAAACCACACCCATACACTGCACACACATCACACACACATAACATACACCAAACACACACCACACCCACACACACCACATACACACTTAAGAGAGAGAGAGACGGAGACCTATAAAGAGGGCATGCAGGAGGGAACGACACACACTCATCACACACACACAATTTACCATACTCACACCACAAATACACACACCATACACATAGCACCTAAACACCACCCACACACATACCCCACACCTACACTGCTAACCCACACACCACCCACCACAACACACACACAAACCACACACCAGACTTACCCCATGCACCACACACACACACCACAAATAAACACACCACACACATAGCACCCAGACAACACTAACTCCCCCCACACAGCACACATTACCCACTTACTACACCACACACTCATCACATACTCACCAGATACTAAACCACACACACAATACACACACACTCAATATACACACATATAGTCACCACAAACACACCACCTACACACACCCACATAGACACACACTCACAACACACACACCACAAACACATACTCACCTCACACACATACCTACTACACAGACAGACTACCCACACAGACACACACACTCACCACCAACACAGACACACTCTCACAACAAATACACACACAACACCCAAAAACCACACACACACACACCACCTACACACACATCCCATACACCACACCCACACACATCACATACACATCACACACAACACACACACAACACACACTCACCAAACACACACTACACACTCACCATACACACTGACCACCCACAAATCCCCACACACACACACTCACCATACACACATACTTCACACACATACTCACCACACACACCACTACCCACACACAACCACACCCACAAACCACACAAACCACACCCACACACTGCACACACCACACAAACACTGCCCACACACACTGCACACAAACACCAACCACATAGCACCCACACACACACCCACCACACACAAACCAATCACACCACATGCACACACCTCACTCATCACCCACAGACATTCCATGCACTCACACTACACACACACACAACCACACTCACCATACACACATACTCACCACACACACCACCCAGAAACACCACCCACACACACCACACACAACCCACAAAATACACACACAACACACTGCACACACCACACCCACACACCACAAATACACACACACCCCTACACACACTTCACAGTACACCCACCACACACAGTACACCCATACAATACACAAACCACACACACACACCACCAAAACCACAGACATACACCACACACACACTCACCACACACACAAACTACACCCATACACACAACCCACATAACACACACCACACACACACTCACCTCACACACATACTCACCACCCACCCACACACATACTCACCACACACATACTCAATACCCACACACCACCACCCACATGCAGACACACACTATACACACACTACACTCACAACTGCACACAACATACATAGACTAACTACCCACACACACTGCGCACACCACACACACTCCGCAAACACACATCAGACACACATCCCACATACCCACACACAAGCACCACATTCACCACAAACACACTCATACTACACTCACCACAAACACACATACACCACACACATACACCCCACACACACACACATACCAACCACACACCATACACACACACATACACCCCTCACACACACATCACACTCACCCCGCACATACACCGCCCACACACACTACCCACACAATACACACACACCACCCAAGCAAACACCACCTACACAACCTATACACCCCACACACACATTCCACACAACACACAAATACCTGACATACACACACTCACACCTCATACACACACACCACACACTCACCCCACACACACTCACCCTGTACACATACTATGCACACACCACACCCATATACCCCACATACCCACACACACACCACACACACATAACATTCACACCACACACATACACCACACCCGCACACCACCTACACACCAAACAGAGAGAGAGAAGGAGACCTATAAAGAGGACATTTAGAGAAGGACATTAGGGGGACATGCAGGAGGGAACCTATCAGAGGTAGAACAAATTTAGAAGGGCTTAAAACTGAGCTGGTTGAACGTCTGTGATCCTTAGGGGTAAATGGCAGAAGAAAGATTCAAACATTAAATAAAACCTGGATAGAAATTATTGAGAACATAGGAAAGTAGGATGATTATAAAATCCTCAACAGAAAACAGAACTTCTCATTGTTATTCTTAGCTAAAAATGGGGCATCCGATGCAAGTCAGTTTAACCCCACCCTCATTTTCTAGGTCACCTTGTTTCACAACGATATTAAAATCCAAATCATTGTCACCCAGAAATAAACAAAACAATATGCTATTATTTAACTGCATTGAGAAAAAATTGCCTCATACAATGAAAATTCCTATCTACACATTTCAGGTATTTAAACAATGAAAACTACGAATAATAATGTGTGTTCTATTCTGTAACTAATTACTAGATTTGTAAAAAAAAAATGTTAGCTGGCATTTTTGGGGGAGTACCAACGGGATGGACAGGACAAACCAAAAAAAACCGGGATTGTCCCAGTAAAAAAAGGACTGCAGTCATTTGGAAAGAAACTCAGAAAACAGCGATAATAAAGCAGTTGTCTTACCTGCATTTACTGGTGACCATGTGAAAGTTCACAAACTGGAAATTATCAAAAGATCTATCTGGCAAACAGTTATCAAATTGCTCCATAGTTGTCCAGGGTCCATCACCAACACCAACTAAAATAATACTGAGAGGGTACAAGGATGCTTCCACGATTGCCTGTACTGTGCTGTTCTGCTCTATAACTTGTCCGTCAGCTATGATTATCAAAATATGGTAGCTGTGGAAAGTTGTTAAGATCGTTTACCAGACTGGATTTTGTTTGACAGTTTAAATATGATAGACACATTAAATTTTAAAGTAAAAAAAATATAAATCAATAATTTTCTTTTTCTTTTTCAGCATTCCAAGCCTTTGAAATTCATTGCTACAAATATCTTCTGCTTCTATTCATCTTTCTGGACTGGTCTTCTCTTTCCAGGTGGTAGGTCTTCCTGGATATTATGTCTCCATCGTCTTATTTGTCTGTCTCCTGGTCTACGACCATTCAGCTCCATTAGTATAGTTTTTACCCCTCTGTCATCTGACATTCTCTCAGTATGGCCTAGCCACTTTTAGCCCTCATGATGGCAGTGATCAGTCATCATCATCATTTTGTGTGTGCCATTAGATGTCACACAGAGCTAGCTTTTGATTCCTCCACTCCCCTCTGTTGCGTGCAACTCTCTTGATTTCTGTCATAGAGCTCAGCCCAGAGTTTTTAGCCTCTCGTAATAATGATCTTCCTAATGTGGACGTCCTCTTTTTTCTCAAACTATTTGTTTCCTATTTCAGTGCTTGTTTTGTAATTCTTTGCTCATTCTGCCTCAAAGTGTGCACCTTCTTTGTCTTACTGCAGTTGATACAGGTATTTGTTCAGATATTTCTCTATCTCATTGCTCTTTTTAAATTCATTCCATTTTATGTTAATGATTTGTCTTGGACATTTATTTTCAAATGTATTAAGTTTTCAATCCATTTCTTTGGTGGTTCTTGTTGTGTGCTGAACTCGCTTTGTTATTTTTACTCAACAAAACAATAGTCCTTTTCTGCAAGTTTCTGTAGCTATGAACAGTCATCAGTGGGGATAAATAATATTATTGACATTAATTTAGTAAACAAATAATAGTGTGCAATATAATTACAAAATAAGTATTTGTAAATACCAAAGTGGGTGCATTTTTTATACATTCAAATAAGCGACCTCTTGGCATAATTACTAATACTTGGCCTTGTCTTGGAAAACAGCAGTAAAATGACTCACCGTTTTAAGTTTCGCAGTAAAATGACTCACCGTTTTGAGTTTCGCAGTAAAATGACTCACCGTTTTGAGTTTCGCAGTAAAATTACTCACCGTTTTGAGTTTCTCAGTAAAATGACTCACCGTTTTGAGTTTCGCACAATCTGAACTGCCTTGCTGATGATTGGAGCAAAATTGGTGGGCCCACCCAAAGTAATGCTGTTGGCGATGACTCCATAGCAGTCCAAGACATCTGTGAAACCCTTACATGGGACCTCCACTCCAGCTTGCTCTTTGAATGGGAACACAGACTGACCCATGGTGACACTGTCCCCAAATCCATAGGCAGGGATAAGGTTGTCTTCATCTAATGGCTCCAATGTCCGCCCAATTATAGATATCACCTGGAAGGTGATCAAAGGAGATGTCAAATTTGTGAATCATTTTGAAGAGTATATCTCATCAAAGTGATTACACTTGTGGTCAACCAGTATCATCAACAGTTACAAGATACAGAAGATGACACTATATTGGACCTGTCTTGAGAGAAAACGTGCAGAGAATCACTATACAGACACTGAAATGGGAAATAAAGGGATAGAGGAAGTGAGGAAATCCTCCCACAAAAACCTAAAACATGATGATGATGAGAGAGTCCATCTAAGATATCAAAGAGATTTCACAGGACAGAACAGAATGCAGGAATAGACTGTGCGACACCTAATGGCCAGCAGGAGAATGATGATGATTATATTTCATCACAGTCATTAGTCGAAGATAACAAACTAGCTGATAGGGCTAATAGGGAGGGAGGACAGACAAAGTATAGGGCTGGTATACCAAAGCTCTATGAGAAGTAAGATGTTTCCAAACATCAAGTGTGACTGTGAATTTGCAGCTATGACCAGACAACTAGAATAGCAAGTGAAAAGGAGTGAGGTCAGACAAGAGCCTATGCAAAAGTCACAAGAAGAATCGCATTCCAACAGGGAACTGGTTTTGTCAGCCGCTGTGTGCTGCAGGGATTGCAAGTGATCTGACCACTTATTGACTGACTGGTTTGATATGTAATGATGTTCATCTGTCCACTAACTAACACTGTCACTGTCTGATTTAAAAAAAAATTTTTTTTAATCTTCAGTTTCTTGATGTCCTGTAGCTAAAGAATTTTTCAGTCTTCTTCTTCTTCTTCTTATCTGACCTCTTTCTTGATGTATTATTCTATATTCATCTTGGTTGTATTTATTTTGTCTTCAAATCTTTATCAGAGGACAAATTTGCTGTGTCATCCATTTCTTCTTTGCTGTCTTCTGGTATCATATTTTTGTATGTCTGTTGTTTCAAAAAGAGCCATAGGAAGCTCGAGAGATAAGATGCTGATAACATGGCATTGAAGGTCATCTGTGTCAGAATAGACAGAGTATACAAGACAGACAGTTGTGTCAGAATAGACAGAGTATACGAGACAGACAGTTGTGTCAGAATAGACTGAGAGTGTACGAGACAGACAGTTGTGTCAGAATAGACTGAGAGTGTACGAGACAGACAGTTGTGTCAGAATAGACTGAGAGTGTACGAGACAGACAGTTGTGTCAGAATAGACTGAGAGTGTACGAGACAGACAGTTGTGTCAGAATAGACTGAGAGTGTACGAGACAGACAGTTGTGTCAGAATAGACTGAAAGTAAACAAGACAGACAGTTGTGGAGAGATATGACAGCCAATGCTACATGGCAAGGACTATAAGAAGAAGATTGCTGTTTTTGGAAGACCTGTGGAAGTGAGTTGTTCATTCTTAAATAATTGGGAGCAGATGATGAGTAGGTTTCCTTCCCAGCAGGTAAGCATGACACTGATTCTACAATCTCTCCAAGCAAGAAGAAAGTTTTAGACACTGACTGTCTACTACTGCCATTGGAGCAGAATGTTGTTAGCTTCATAGAAGAAAAACAATCTTTAGCAGTCTTCAAACAGACGAATCCTTGTGTGAATTCTAAGGTCTCATTTTTTTTAAAGAAAAAAAAAAGGAGGGGGTGGGGGGGGGGGGGAGGGGGTTCACAGAAGACCCACTACCTCTTAACAAGAGTATTTGTAAATTATGCTCAATTATTAGTTTGTTGAAATCGGATATGCTGGGATGAAAGATGCAGGTATTGCACCGTAGATGTAAATTGCGCACTGCTTTTTAAAGGTAAGTCCAGAAGAAGAATCAAAGCAGAGACCATTCATAAGCTGCACTGGTGTCTGCCCAGGCTGTCAAGAGAAAAGCCCTGGATGTCAAGATAAAAGTCCTGGATGTCAAGAGAAAAGCCCTAGATGTCAAGAGAAAAGCCCAGGGTGTCAAGAGAAAAGCCCTAGATGTCAAGAGAAAAGCCCTGGATGTCAAGAGAAAAGTCCTGGATGTCAAGAGAAAAGCCCTAGATGTCAAGAGTAGATCCCTAGATGCCAAGAGAAAAGCCCTAGATGTCAAGAGTAGAGCCCTGGATGTCAAGAGAAAAGCCCTAGATGTCAAGAGAAAAGCTATAGATGTCAAGAGAAAAGCCCTAGATGTCAAGAGAAAAGCCCAGGGTGTCAAGAGAAAAGCCCTGGATGTCGAAAGAAAAGCCCTAGATGTCAAGAGAAAAGCCCTAGATGCCAAGAGAAAAGCCCTAGATGTCAAGAGTAGAGCCCAGGAAGCCAAGAGAAGAAAAGTCCCACCATGGAAGAGTAGTGACTCCACATCCTGCAAGATGTAAGAAATATTACAAATTACCTTTTGATATGGGTTTAAAGCCTTGCCTGGCAGCACTTTGTGAAGATTTTGGCCACCAAATGTCTTTCTACCCTGCCACTCGTTGCTTGCGCTGAAGTCCACACCAATGATTAGCCCACACTTTTCTAGTCCAGCCTTCTTGCAAGCTTTCCCCACCTTTGTTGGAAAGAAAAGAGTCAAAGCTAACAGCTTTTTGGATACAACCAGGATTTTTTTTTTTTTTTTTTTAAATGCTAGAACTTCCAAAATGTTTAAAACAATTTGATGGCGCTCATTACAAAGTGTTTACCCCAGTGCTAGGGTTAAAAAAATGCTTAAAAGATGTACTGCTGCTACATCTGGGCAAAGATTAGACATCATAGCATTCAGGGCAAGCCCATATTAGCTCCATCTCTCCCCTCAGCAAGCAAAGGGTCTCCATACCGATGGTATCCTAATATCATCTGGTTACTACTTGTCTCACCTTTGCCTTTAGTCTCCAGTGGCACCCAGAGCCTGCAGACTCTTCCCCGCTACATCATTCTCTCCCAATTCAGGTTTTAAATATCTTCCATTTTACTTGTTACATTGTGGTACAGGCGAGATATCTACTCTGCCTTGTGCATTTGCATGGTTCTCGGTGTGTTGGCAGAGTACAAGAATTTAGACTATACTGCTTTAATTTCTGCCAGCTTGACTTTCAATGATCAACAATCAGTGAAAACCTGTTTTGTTTATAAAAGGTCTGAAGAGAAAAAACTGGGCCATATTTTTCATTAAAACTTTGCCTTTTGTTTAAAAAAAAATATAATGATTACTTCTGCTTCTTCTTCATCGTTGCATTCAACGGCTGTAAACTCTGGCAAAAGGTTACGGTCATTATCCACTTCTGGACTTGTCTTGCTCCAGAACCTGAGATTGCGTGCACATCCGTTTTTATACAGACTGTTGATTCCTCACCCCATAGGCAGATGCACTCTGTCTGACTGTGGAGCATCTCTAATTAGTTGACTTTTGTGATGAGCTTGTAAGGGAACAGTGGTTCAGTTTTGTGGGGAACCCAAACTGGGAACAGTGGTTCAGTTTTGTGGGGAACCCAAACTGAGAACAGTGGTTCAGTTTTGTGGGGAACCCAAACTGGTAACAGTGGTTCAGTTTTGTGGGGAACCCAAACTGGTAACAGTGGTTCAGTTTTGTGGGGAACCCAAACTGAGAACAGTGGTTCAGTTTTGTGGGGAACCCAAACTGGTAACAGTGGTTCAGTTTTGTGGGGAACCCAAACTGGGAACAGTGGTTCAGTTTTGTGGGGAACCCAAACTGGTAACAGTGGTTCAGTTTTGTGGGGAACCCAAACTGGTAACAGTGGTTCAGTTTTGTGGGGAACCCAAACTGGTAACAGTGGTTCAGTTTTGTGGGGAACCCAAACTGGGAACAGTGGTTCAGTTTTGTGGGGAACTCAAACTGGGAACAGTGGTTCAGTTTTGTGGGGAACTCAAACTGGGAACAGTGGTTCAGTTTTGTGGGGAACCCAAACTGGGAACAGTGGTTCAGTTTTGTGGGGAACTCAAACTGGGAACAGTGGTTCAGTTTTGTGGGGAACTCAAACTGGGAACAGTGGTTCAGTTTTGTGGGGAACCCAAACTGGTAACAGTGGTTCAGTTTTGTGGGGAACCCAAACTGAGAACAGTGGTTCAGTTTTGTGGGAAACTCAAACTGGGAACAGTGGTTCAGTTTTGTGGGAAACTCAAACTGAGAACAGTGGTTCAGTTTTGTGGGGAACTCAAACTGGGAACAGTGGTTCAGTTTTGTGGGGAACCCAAACTGGGAACAGTGGTTCAGTTTTGTGGGGAACCCAAACTGGGAACAGTGGTTCAGTTTTGTGGGGAACTCAAACTGGGAACAGTGGTTCAGTTTTGTGGGGAACCCAAACTGGGAACAGTGGTTCAGTTTTGTGGGGAACTCAAACTGGGAACAGTGGTTCAGTTTTGTGGGGAACTCAAACTGGGAACAGTGGTTCAGTTTTGTGGGGAACCCAAACTGGGAACAGTGGTTCAGTTTTGTGGGGAACCCAAACTGGGAACACTGACAGAATTATTTGAGTGAAGAGAGACTGCCCAGAATCTGATGGCTGCATCAAAGATAAGTAGTAAAGGAAATGTATCATCATGTTTGTTTTGTTGTGCACCAGTTATTCACTTTGAGTAGCCTCTTCTTTTCCTTGACCCGGTTAAATTTGTTTAACATCCACAGTGGAGTCCAGCTTATTCCTCATAACCATTTTGCTGTGCCCAAAGATAACTACTATAGGGTGGAACTTTTCACATCCACAGTGGAGTCCAGCTTATTCCTCATAACCATTTTGCTGTGCCCAAAGATAACTACTATAGGGTGGAACTTTTCACATCCACAGTGGAGTCCAGCTTATTCCTCATAACCATTTTGCTGTGCCCAAAGATAACTACTATAGGGTGGAACTTTTCACATCCACAGTGGAGTCCAGCTTATTCCTCATAACCATTTTGCTGTGCCCAAAGATAACTACTATAGAGTGGAACTTTTAACATCCACAGTGGAGTCCAGCTTATTCCTCATAACCATTTTGCTGTGCCCAAAGATAACTACTATAGAGTGGAACTTTTAACATCCACAGTGGAGTCCAGCTTATTCCTCATAACCATTTTGCTGTGCCCAAAGATAACTACTATAGGGTGGAACTTTTAACATCCACAGTGGAGTCCAGCTTATTCCTCATAACCATTTTGCTGTGCCCAAAGATAACTACTATAGAGTGGAACTTTTAACATCCACAGTGGAGTCCAGCTTATTCCTCATAACCATTTTGCTGTGCCCAAAGATAACTACTATAGGGTGGAACTTTTCACATCCACAGTGGAGTCCAGCTTATTCCTCATAACCATTTTGCTGTGCCCAAAGATAACTACTATAGGATGGAACTGAATTTCTGGAACTTTTAGTTGTTTGATTCTCACTCTTGAGATTTGCAGTAATCCTCATCATCATCATGTAGCAGCTCCTTTGCAGAACGTCGCTCTCATCACAGTCTGCCTGAAAGAAATTTGCTCTCTTGCCAGCTCTCCCGCCTTGTGTGCAAGGAGACATTTATATTCTGTGCCCATCTTCGTGTTGGTCGGCCAATGCCGCTCCTTCCTTGTACCAAGCCATCTGCTATAATTGTTTCCAATCCATCGCTTAATCCTACAGATTGCAATACTGGAGGGGAGGACAATTTTGATTTAAATCACGAAAATAATAAATCTCTTATTTTTTAGAGTAAAAGCTCATATAAAGAGAATGTCATAGATGAGATCATCCCCATCAAGTCTATTTGTCTTTGCCTTTCATCTACCACTGTCCATTTTACTTACTATCTCACAAAGAGAATGTCATGGATAAGATCATCTCCATCAAGTCTATTTGTCTTTACCTTACCTCTACAACTGTCCGTTTGACTCATTATCTATGAATGCTAGAGCAACAGAGGTCATGCTTTATGGTGCATACCTTATTTATATTTCCCCTGTAGGGAAAGGTTACCAGTAAAGTGAGAGATACTGAAAATCCAAATGATGCAGCAGGGAGTGCCCTCAGGCTCTGGGTGACTGAAAATCCAAATGATGCAGCAGGGAGTGCCCTCAGGCTCTGGGTGACTGAAAATCCAAATGATGCAGCAGGGAGTGCCCTCAGGCTCTGGGTGACTGAAAATCCAAATGATGCAGCAGGGAGTGCCCTCAGGCTCTGGGTGACTGAAAATCCAAATGATGCAGCAGGGAGTGCCCTCAGGCTCTGGGTGACTGAAAATCCAAATGATGCAGCAGGGAGTGCTCTCAGGCTCTTGGTGCCATTCGAGACTATGGGGGGAAAGCAAGGTGAGTAGTTAACCAGATGACAATGGGTACTATCAGTCTGGAAATTTGAAACTCTTCGCTGGCTGTTGAGGGGGAGAGACAGAGCTAATATAGGCTTGTCCTGAGTGCTGTGATGTTGAATCTTTACCAAGATGAACGTTTACACCCACTCACACCCGCAAAAAATGAAGTTGCAAATCAAAATAAAATCTGAAATGAACAAAAATCTGGCACAAGTTTCTCCTACCTCATTGAAGTTACTGAACCGATCCTCAAATGCATAGAAAGTTTTGTAGCCATTGTAAGTGAGCCCCAGCAGAGACAACAGCGAGTACTGGCTACCTTGTTTCCTGTGTTGCCGCCGGAAGTTGCTGGTAGTTAGGATGCTGCCACTGTTGCTGCTGCTGTCGCTGAGCTTCTCCACATAGTCACACTCGTCATGTCGTAGTCTTTGTGCCCTGCAAGTTGTTTGCAAATTATGTCCTTTGTGTTTTTATTGTATGTATGAAGTAGCAGTTTTTAGCAAAAATATGCATAATTCTCTGTCTCACTCTCTTTCTCACACACATCCACCCACCCACGCACAAAGAGTTATCATTTACCAACCTTGCTACTCACCTAGCAACAATGCAAACACAGCAAGTCACACACAAATTTTTGCAATTCACATAAACAGAAACAATTCATACAAACACAAACACAGCAACTATTCATACACGTAGCAACAGTTCACGCATAGTGACAATCTGCAACACCTACAGCAACAATTCACACATGTAGTGGCAATATTTCACACCTACATCAACAATTCACACATGTAGCAATATTTCACACATGTAGCAATATTTCACACATACAACAATTCATACTTATTGCTATGTGTGTGAATTGGTGCTGTATGTGTGAAATGATGCTAGATGTGGGAAATGTTAAATGTGTGAATTGTCACTGTAGTTGTGAATTCACACAAGCAGCATCAATTCACACACATAGCAACAAGTATGAATGTGTGAATTGTTGCTGTATGTGTGAAATGTTGCAACATATGTTGATTATTGCTGTAGTTGTGAAATGTTTCTGCATGTGTGAATTGTTGCTACATGTGTGAATTGTTGCTGTTGGTGTGAAATGTTGTTACATGTACGAACTGTTTCTGTAGCTGTGAAATGTTACTACATGTGCGAATTGTTAATGTATGTGTGAATTGTTGCTGTAGGTGTGAAATGTTGCTGTATTTAGGAAATGTTGCTACATGTGTAAACTGTTACTGCTGGTGTGAAATGTTGGTGTGAAATGTTGCTACATGTGTGAATTGTTGCTGTAGGTGTGAAATGTTGCTATATGTTTGAATGTTGCTGTAGGTGAGAAATGTTGCTATATGTTTGAATGTTGCTGTAGGTGTGAAATGTTGTTACATGTGTAAATTGTTGCTAAATAGGTGAAATGTTGTTATATGTGTGAATTGTTGCTACATACGCAAATTTTTGCTGTAGGTGTGAATTTTTGCAGTTGGTGTGAAAGTTGCTACATGTGTGAATTGTTGATGTATGTGTAAAATGTGGCTGTAAGTGTGAATTGTTGCTGTATGTGGGAAATGTTGCCACAATATTTGAACATTTGCTGTTGACGTTGGTTTACTACAGAAACAATTCACACCTACAGCAGCTATACATACATTTATCAATAAATAACACATCCAGCAAAACTTACAAATCCAGCAATTCAGTGAAGATATAAATTTACTTGAAAAACACACCTGGTGTGCAGAAACTTTGATTTACTACTACAAATAAATTATGGGGTAAACAAATGTTTACCTCTGTTGCTGGTACAACCAGTACAAGAACATCGCTATGATGTTGGCGATGATGTACAACAGACATGACAGGAGCGTCATGGGAGGTTCCACATCTGGATCTTTGATGACAGTATTGCTGAAATGATGTTAATGGTAAAAGGTGAGTCAAGAATCTACATCAGAGGACTTGGGACATTCGCTCAGTCGTCAACTTCAACTGTTGGCGCAGAGTTTCTGTGCTGGCCGTAAAAGTAGGAGTATGATTATATGTTCGTCTTGCTTTTCCCATGAGTGTCGGTTTAAAAAACAAAATCCGTCCATTAAATAAATAACATATTGCACTTGGTGCAGTATTTAACTTCGCGCATTGTGAAAGTAAGACACGCTATTTCTTGTACACAACAATCAAACAGTTACTACTGCCATCGGAATTGTAACTTGTTGCTGAAGATAGGGACGGAGCGCTTATGGGGGTGTCCCGAGTGCTATGATGTCGATTCTTAATTAAATATGAATTGTAGACAGCAATAAATACATTACAACTGAACACGGTCAAGTCAATGTCTTGGGTTGTCAAGACAGGCCTGACGTGTTGACTGCGCCTTGGAGATGTTGTCCATGACAGTCATCTCTCAAGTGCACTGATGTCATCTCTCAAGTGCACTGATGTCATCTCTCAAGTGCACTGATGTCATCTCTCAAGTGCACTGATGTCATCTCTCAAGTGCACTGATGTCATCTCTCAAGTGCACTGATGTCATCTCTCAAGTGCACTGATGTCATCTCTCAAGTACACTGATGTCATCTCTCAAGTACACTGATGTCATCTCTCAAGTGCACTGATGTCATCTCTCAAGTGCATTGATGTCATCTCTCAAGTGCACTGATGTCATCTCTCAAGTGCACTGATGTCATCTCTCAAGTGCACTGATGTCATCTCTCAAGTGCACTGATGTCATCTCTCAAGTGCACTGATGTCATCTCTCAAGTGCACTGATGCGATGTAGAATGTTCTACTGCTTGTGTCCTCCTGCTGCTGCTTCTGCTTCTGCTTTTTCCTCTGCTACTGCCGCGTCCTCCTCCTTCTTTTTCTTCTTCTTCTTCTTCTTCTTCTTCTTCTTCTTCTTCTTCTTCTTCTTGGTGTCCGTCGGCTGTAAGCACTGGCAGACAGTTCCGGTTGGTCGTCCATTTGTGAACTCTAGTCCTGTTCCAGAACCTAAGTTGCGTGCACATACGTTTCACAGATCCGGCTCATTTCTATGTAGATTGTTGGTTCTTAGCCTCAGATGCAGCTGCATTCTGACTTCGAAGAAAGCTCCTATTTAGTCGACTCTTACGACATGCTTTAGGGGAGGCAGTGGGTCTATTCTCGTCTTCCCCACAATGGGACCCCGGAATCTACAGTCAGATACTGTTGTGTACTATAAATGTGTTATCCTATTTCAAAATGAATCACGTTAAATGCCGCACACATTCGGAAATGTGTCTTTATGGCCTGTGCGTAACACTTTCAGCGCTGTAGGACATGAAGTGTCGCGGGCAGGGCCGTCCTAACGCATGGGCCCTCTGGCCGCTTTCCCGGGGGCCCTGTGAGTGAGTGTAGGGGCCTCATAAATATCTGAGTATTATCGATCATTTATGTTTCGTTGCTTTGAGTGGTTGTAGTAGGGGCCCCCGCACACTTGTTTGCCCAGAGGCCTACAATGCCGTTAGGTCGGCTCTAGTCATGAACCTGAAGATTTGAGACCTCACTGATAGCGTAGTCGCCACGAACTGTGCAGTTTTTGTTCATTATATTATTTATTTGTCGCCCTTGACAGAAAACCGAAACCTCTCTATCCCCTTAACAGAGGGAATAGTCTTGCTGGAAACAAAGATATTTTCAGAGTCGTCCACTAAACATACGACTTGCAGACATAGATAACTTGTTGACTGGTACCGGTGGATAATTCCCATTCATGTATATTGTGTTGTTAGGGACAGAAATACGAGGCGGATAAACAGTGCAAGAAGATGAACATATGGATAGAAAGACAATAGATGCATAGAAGGACAGATGGAAAGGTGTACCGATAAATAAAAAACGAACAAAAGTAAAGTACCGACTGATCAACGAACAGAACGAGAGAATTTTGTTTTCAGTTGTTAAGAATTGGGCACGCAGGCAGTCATACATTTTGGCAGGTACGTAGACAGACAAACAGACGGACTTGTAGAAAGAAAGATAAGATACAGGAAAGTCGTCATTAGAATTTCCAGTTTCAGTATTTAGCAAATAACACGTAATTCTCCTTTTCCTATAAGACATTTACTTAACAACCCGTTCCAGAAAGCAAACAAGCTGATAAATAGAGGCAAGCTCTAATTTGAGTAAATCTAATTTCCCAGCCATAAAGGATCGCCTCATTTATTTGTCCCCCAGCGAGTATAAAAAAACACCTCACTAAAGACAGCCACGATAACTCCATTATCCAGTCTCAGAAAAAAAGATTACATAATGGCGTTGTGGATGCAGTAAATTCTCTCCCCTCCGCACCTTTATCTCCCCTTGCTGGAATTTGATGTGCTGCATACGATCGGTGCATTTCTGACTCGCCCACAGTTTTACAGAACTTTGAGATGCTGTTGGTAATGTCTGAATGTCAACAGATTTAAGGCCTTCTTCTTCTTCTTCTTCTTCTTCTTCTTCTTCTTCTTCTTCTTCTTCTTCTTCTTCTTCTTTTGAAGCTGCTGCTGCAACAACTTGTGCTGCTATTACTCTTACTACAGATACTAATACAACGATTACTATGTCTTATTCTAAGAAGAAAAAGAAGCAGAAAAAGAAGACGCAGAAGAAGAAGAACAACAACAAACAGTAAATTGGCCAAGACAAAACACAGATTAACTCCACAGCTCATAGATCCCCGGAATTATACACAACCAAAGGACCACAAGTTGCATCGACTCAGAAACAAATCTATGATATAGACGTTGGAAAGTTTGGGTGTCGTATAAAAGTATCGTTATGAAAATAATATTTCGTTCGCCCATTGGCTCGCCGGCAGACGACTTCGTGGCCGATCGGATCATTATTTGGATCTGTCTCCTTTGATCGACTCAACACCGCAGGTTTTTTCCCCAGTGTTGTTGGTGGCGTGCAAGATTGCTACGTCATTTTATAAGGCGCATATAACGTAGTCACAATTATAAATAACATAAAGCTCTCCCTTCGGGGACGCTGGTCGTTCTATGCTAGCACCCCTTCCCAGAACTTAGGTTTTTTTAAACAACGCTCATGCCTATTCTAATAATTTGGCGGATCTCCAATCTGAATGAACGGAGACCCGTCTCTCTAGCGTAGTTGGCTGAACCGGATTGCGCGGTGAGCGGGTGAATGTCCGGGTTCACTCCCGGCGGTGGGCAGAAAAGCCACATTTCTCCCAGATTTACGGTATTTAAAATGGAATCAAGGCCGAAAGGTTGTGATATTCATAATGCCGAGCCTAAGGGTTAACAACTCATGGCTTCTCGATACTAAAACAAACAAACAAACGAATGAACGGAGAAATCATCCATCCGCCCCGCCTACAAGGCAGGGGGGGGGGGGGAGTTTTCCAGTAATGGGAGTCAGACCATTTTCTGCTGCTCCAGGGGCAGATAAACACAGCCTGACCTTATCGATTGTGGCTGTATTGTACCGAGCTAATCACGGAAGGGTCGAATCAACTTACACTGGTGTTCCCACCGAGATTGAGCTGATCGTGGAGTTTCGCCAGGATCTGGGCTCCAAACAATCAGTCTTGAACAATAACTAAGTATATCAACATCATCCTGCAATGCTGTTTATACACAGGTCTTCATAAGAACTCAACAGGATTGCAAACGATAGGGGGGAGAAACGATAGAAAATTTGGAAGAAAAACATCAAGTATATGTCAGCTTTACAAAACCATTTGCAATAAATAAATAGAAGCCGTTTCGGCAATTACCCTTCATCAGCAACAAAAAACCCACAAGGTTGTGTGGGTTTTTTGTGTGTGTGTGGTTGCCAGTGTGTGTGGATACAGAATTGTGAGTGAAACTGAACACCAATATGATCGCACACTGAGCGATTAACATTCTGTGACGCAGGATGCAATACGCCATTACTCGGATGTAAATCTCACAGCAATACGCCATTACTCGGATGTAAATTTCCCAGCAATGTGCCATTACTAGGATGTAAATCTCCCAGAAAAGCGCTATTACTCGGATGTAAATCTCCCAGAAAAGCGCTATTACTCGGATGTAAATCTCCCAGAAAAGCGCTATTACTCGGATGTAAATCTCCCAGAAAAGCGCTATTACTTGGATGTAAATCCTCCAGTAATGTGCCATAACTCGGATGTAAATCTCCAAGAAAAGCGCTATTACTTGGATGTAAATCCTCCAGTAATGTGCCATAACTCGGATGTAAATCTCCCAGAAAAGCGTATTACTTGGATGTAAATCCTCCAGTAATAAGCCATAACTCGGATGTAAATCCTCCAGTAATGTGCCATAACTCGGATGTAAATCCTCCAAGAAAAGCGCTATTACTTGGATGTAAATCCTCCAGTAATGTGCCATAACTCGGATGTAAATCTCCCAGAAAAGCGTATTACTTGGATGTAAATCCTCCAGTAATGTGCCATAACTCGGATGTAAATCCTCCAGTAATGTGCCATAACTCGGATGTAAATCCTCCAGTAATGTGCCATAACTTGGATGTAAATCCTCCAGTAATGTGCCATAACTCGGATGTAAATCCTCCAGTAATGTGCCATAACTCGGATGTAAATCCTCCAGTAATGTGCCATAACTCGGATGTAAATCCTCCAGTAATGTGCCATAACTCGGATGTAAATCCTCCAGTAATGTGCCATAACTCGGATGTAAATCCTCCAGTAATGTGCCATAACTCGGATGTAAATCCTCCAGTAATGTGCCATAACTTGGATGTAAATCCTCCAGTAATGTGCCATAACTCTGATGTAAATCCTCCAGTAATGTGCCATAACTCGGATGTAAATCCTTCAGTAATGTGCCATAACTCGGATGTAAATCCTCCAGTAATGTGCCATAACTTGGATGTAAATCCTCCAGTAATGTGCCATAACTCGGATGTAAATCCTC